GTTTTTGCTATAGGGCACGTGCGCTCGCCAGACAGACAGAGAGACATAGAGACAGAAAGTGAGAAATCACCCCCCAGGGGGGATGGTCATGCCGCAATCCCTTCTCCTCCACTCTCCTCTCGGGATCTTGGGCATGCACGCACACGTGCCCAGCGTGAGTTTTAAGCCACTGGGTCCGGGACGCGAACCGCGGTTGACTACGTGGGAGTCCAGCAACATACCCATTACGCTGACTGCTGGTACCCTGGACCCAGACACTTTCTGACACCCAGGCCCCTGTCTCCGGCCCACCTCTGGCCTCCCAGGGATCCCAGAACTCAGGGCTTGCACTTCGGCACCGAGAGCTTTGCTGTCTGGGGTGGTCTTCTTGGCAGGGCACCTGAGTGCAGGAGTGTGACTGTTCAGGAAGTGCCGTCTGCTGCAAGGACACCCTGCTACCCTCCTGCCCACTTTTCTGGGGCAGAATCCAGGGACAGGATTCAGAATCCAGGGAGAGAGTGCACAGGGTTAACTGTGTGACCTGGGCAAAGCATTCCCCCTTGGGACTTAGTTTCCTTGTCTGCAGATGGGGACGATTGGCTTCCTGCAGGATAGATGCCCAGGGACGGGGCACGCTGGCAGAAGGTGCTGGTCCCAGGAGGAGCCTTGTAGGGGGATGTGGAGGGGATGGCTCAGAGGCCAGGACTCCATAGGAGAGCATTTGTTCACTCCAGCCCAAGTCTTAGGTCAGCTCTGTGGCCTGAGTTTTAGTTCCTCATTGGTGAGGCGTGATGCCAGCCTCTTCTCTGGGACATGGTGAGGCTCCTGGTGGTGAGCCGCTTGGAGCACTCTGCTGGGAAGCCCTTGGGAGAGCAGCTCTCCCAGAGGTGCCGAGCCCAGACCCTCAGCCCTCCCTTGCAGGTTGGACCTTGGAGAGCGAGGCCCTGATGCGAGACCTGGGCAGCTGGCTCCTGCTCTGCACCTGCATGTGCAGCCGTGCCTGCCTGGGAGCCTCTGTCCCAGGGGCAGGAGGAGGTGAGGCCTGGGCACTGCCTGCGTGGAGGGGTATGGGCAAAGAGTGAGGGCACGGGGTAGGGCTGTCCTCTAACAAGCCCCCAGGGAAAGATTCGGCTCAGACCACGCCGGGGTCTGTCCTCCAGCAGTCAGCCTGGCCCTCGTCCCCACAGACCCTCGTTCCCACCCCGCCTTCAGGCTGCCTCTCTGGGCCTGGCTTGCCTATCACCAGCCAGGTCTCCCAGCCCTGCCCTTGCGAAGTTCTCCTGGAATCACTCTTGTGACTGCTTTGTTTGGGCATCAGCTGCCAGACCCTTCTCCTCCCACCCCCCCCACCCCTGCTTGGCTCTGCGCTGAAGTTCCCACGTGGTCCCTGATGGTCACTGTCCCCAGGGCCGAGTGCTGGGCCTTTCACCTGCCTCACCAACAACATCCTCAGGATTCACTGCCGCTGGTCCACCCCAGAGCTGGGCCAGGGCTCCAGCCCCTGGCTCCTCTTCACCAGGTGAGGCTGAGGCTGGGTCCCCCGGGGCAGGTGACAGGACTGAGGCGGGTCCTCCTGAGAGCAGTGGAGGGGGCCGGAACAGTGTGGCAGCCCCTGGGTGCTAACACCTGCCCTTCCCAGCAACCAGGAGCCAGGCAGCAGGCATGCGTGTGTCTTCCGGGGCAGCGAGTGCAGCGTGGAGCTGCCCCCTGAGGAGGTGCTTGTGCCATCCGACAACTTCACCATCACTTTCCACCACTGCCTCTCGGGGAAGGAGCAGGTCAGCCTGGTGGACTCTCAGTACCTGCCCCGGAGACATGGTGAGTGAGAGTGGTACAGCACAGGGCGGGGCAGGCGGGGACATCTGGCTGCTGTGGGCAGGGAGCGGGGCCCGGCAGCCCGTGACCCCTGTGGCCAGTGAGCGTTCTCAGTCCCTGCCAAGTGGGACCTGGAGTGCAGCTGCGCCTGGGAAGGGGCGGTCCCTCGTGGGAGGGCCAGGAGAGGTTTTGGCCGAGGATGAAGATGCAAGACTGAGCCGTGGCAGGACTGAGCCGCGACAGGACTGAGCCGCAGCGAGGCTGCCGTTTGAGTCTGGAAAGCACTTTAGTTAGAGCAAGAAAGACTCCAGAAGGACACTGGGAAAACTTCCAGCAGCAGATTTTGAAGGAATGGGGAGGCAAGCTAAACCACCTGTCTAGCTATGGGGGTCTGGACCCACTCCACTCAGGACCCTGGTCTGTGAGGGCCTCACCTGTGCCTGTGGGAACCTCTCAGACCCCAGTCCTTGTACTGACGGACACGGGCTTCCCTCTGCTCCAGTTAAGCTGGACCCCCCCTCCGGCCTGCAAAGCAACATCAGCTCTAGCCACTGTGCTCTGACCTGGACCGTCGAGGCTGCCTTGGAGCCAATGGTGTCACTTCTCAGCTATGAGCTGGCCTTCAAGAAGCAGGGAGAGGCCTGGGAGGTAACACTTGTGTGGCTTCTCCTGGGGGAGTAGCCCAGACAGACCCCCACGCCCCCACTGCCCAGGGCGAGGTTGACCTGCAGTGATGAAGAGGTGACCAAAGCCAGGTTTGCGGTGTGCACACGCGTGCTTGCACATATGAGTGTGTGCATGAGTAGGGTGAGTGTGCTGTGTTTGTGTGAGTGTGTGACAAGTGTTCTGAGTGTGCCTGTTCATGTTACATGTGTGCACACGGCTGTGTCTCTGTGTGTGTCCGCATATGAGGGGACCTAAAAAAGTTCACAGAAAAATAAAGTACAAGTTTATTTTGGTGCAAAAAACTTTGCAGTTCATGTATAGTTTTTTTCATATACACTTCCCATGCACTGTTTTAGTTTTTAGAGATTCTTGCTGTAAGGTGCCTGTGCTTGCCAGAGAGACAAAAACAGAGAGAAGACAGAAAAAGAGAAATTACCCTCCAGGGGAGATGGCCACACTGCAATCCCTTCTGCTTGCGCAGGCACTGACCCGAGCTTTAAGTCGCCCAGTCCAGGACTCAAAATGCGGTCGACTACGTGGGAGTCAAATGACATGACCACTATGCCTACTGCCGGTCCCAGTTTTTTTTTTTTTTTAATTGCCAGAGGGTGCATATGCTCAGCAGAGGGAGAGGAGAGAGAGAGAGAGAGCGTGGTTTTTTTTCCTGTAGGGCACGAGGAGAGAGAGAGGACACCCCAGTGGGGCGTGGCTCAGCAGAGAGAGAGAGAGAGAGAGAGAGCACACCCCAGTGGGACGTGGTCAAACTCTCGTCCCTTCCCTTCCATCTGTTCATCTTATGCAGATGCACCTGCCGTGTTTCTGAAAACACGAGGGCGGGATTTGAACAGCGGTCTGCCGTGTGGGATCTGGCTTCCTTAACCATGGCCATGGGCTGGCCCTCCCCTGAATCTTTGGAAGACCCCTTGCACAACTGTGCCTGTGCCTTGTGTCTGAGTGAGTGTGCACACAGGCGTGCCTATGTGTGTGGGTGTATGTGACATAGGGTGGTGACTGTGCCTGTTGCACACGTGCATGTACGAATGTGCATGCCAGTGAACTGAGCATGAAAGTACACCTGTAGATGTGTGTGCCTGAGTGTGCTTACATGTGTCGGTGTGCCTGTGTGAGTGTGCAGTGTGTGCATGCATGTGTGAGTGTGCTTACATGTGTCTGTGTGCCTGTGTGAGTGTGCGGTGTGTGCATGCACATGAGAGTGCACGTGTGAACATGAGTATGAGTGACTGAGTGTGAGAATGTGTTTTATGTGCAGGTGTGTATGCATGTGTGTGCACACTCAGAGGCTGATGGACCCAGCCCCCTCAGCACCTGCTGACTGCTCCCAATCCCACAGCAGGCCCGGCACAAGGGCCGCATTGTTGGGCTGACCCGGATCATCCTTGAAGCCGTCGAGTTGGACCCTGACTCCACCTATGAGGCCAGGCTGCGTGTCCGCATGGCCACGCTGGAGGAGGATGCGGTGGAGGAGCGTTATGATGGCCAGTGGAGTGAGTGGAGCCAGCCCGTGTCCTTCCTTTCTCCTCAGAGGCAAGGTGGGTGCTTCCGTGGCTGCTGCCCATCCGTAGCCCCACCCCACTTTCCCACCCAGAGTCCTTCCCTGAGGGGGTCACACCCAGTCGGCTCCTTACACGGAGACCTGAGATGCGGAAGGAGGGACACACACCTTGGGCATCCTGGACTCTGCAGTCGGTGGTCAGTGGCTGCTGCCTGG